ACCCCTGAAGGGGACCCTCCCTCCAACCAATAACTGCCTCCCCACCCCATTCTCCCTCTTTATGCTTTGCCCGTTGCACTGTTTTTCATGTTTTTGTGGTGTAAAAATAAAATGCATATGTTTCAGAATGGATTGTACGTTACATTGAACCTTATGGGGAAATTGCCTCGGGTTCCAACCAACTCGGGATATGTCCAGAGTCACGGGACAGATTAAGTTCGTATCCCGAGGTACCACTGTAATTGAGATTTACAGAACAAAGTCCTGGTCGTGGTGCTACCAAATATCCCTCCTGTCCTCTATGAATGTTATTAGCGCAAAGAAAGAAAGCTCTTATTGCTGCCATAATGGAACCATGTCTCTGCACTCCTAGCTGTTATTTCAAAACAAAACCGAACATGTTACCAAAGGCATGATTAACATCAGTTTCTCCATTCATTCCTATATCTGCAAAGGACTGTGTAGAGGTAGTGAATAGCCAGTTTACAAAAAGCACCTCTGTTTTTTGTATTGTTACATATATGCATATATCAATTAAAAGGGATCAGACTCAAATGCCAGCTTGTACTATACACAAATTTTTACAAAACTGTAAGTACTTAATACGGCTAACAAGTATAAACCTCTACAGTACATGAATGTACACAAAGAGGAATGTTGGGACTCATAATAGCAAAAGGAAAAATATACAGATGCAGTGATAGTTCTAATTTCTGTAAGGGTTTTCTATTTTATTTTTCTCCTATGCCTTTCTCAAAAGCAGTCCTTCAAGCCTGCATGAAATGGACATGAAATCAAACTATAAATATCCATAGTAAATAGCTTCAAGCAGAAGAGCATGCTAAAATCGTTGTAGAAATTGTCCAAGAATTCTAGCCAAGTCAGAAGCATTTTGTTTATTTCTCAGTGGCTTTTTATTGCTGACTGGAGCTAAAATAACAAACTACATAGTAAAACATGGTCCTATACACAATAATACAATTAAGAACCTTTTTTATTGTACCTACTTTACAGGATCTTTATGGTAACACATTCAAACATCATTTGCCAACCATGAGGCTGTGAGGTACAGCTGTTGGTTCTAACATGGTGGTTAGAGGTGTTATCGCAGCATATAGAATCATGAGATGAAATTCTTACAGTTTTGTAAGAATTTGTAAGAGTTGGTATTTTACATGGATCTTTTTTGATTGATACTGATTTCGTGAATCAGAGATCAGTATTCCCTTTTTCCTTTTTATTTATGTGCCCTGTGAAATATGCTAATGCATTCATCCAGACAAATAAATCTTATTTGTGTCAATATTACCAATCATAATTCAGTATTTGTTGTCTCTGAATAGGATTTCTGGATGATTTATTACTTGTCAGGGTATTGCTAGCAACGTTTTTTCATTATACATTTGAAGGCAGGGGCTGTATAAAACGTGAATTCACATAAAATTCATTCAGAATTTAATAAATGGAGGACTACTTAGTACAGAAAGAGAAAAAGCAGAGCCTTTTCTTTAAACGTTTGCTGCAATTGTTTACACATTCTATTTTCTCTAGTCACTTCATTAATATTATTGAAATTAGTCTTATTGCTGAATATTATACATATGAGGCAGATATCATTTCTTTTATTGAGGTAAATCCTTCATGTTTCTCGAATGCTTCACCCAGAGATGAGAGAAAGATTGTAACATCCTTCCCTAATACTACTACTACTACTTCCTACCAGTATAGCTAAATTTTAACTGAGAATTCTGGGAGTTGTAGTCTGAGCATATTGGGAGAGTACCAGACTGGGAAAAGTTGGACTAGGTGTTCTCCTGTATATTTTGAAGCAGCAAACTTGAATGTGCATCCAAGAGGAATCTGCATCTAATCCTGGTTCTCTAATGATCTCATACAATACACATAATTATGTAATTTACACAATTACATCTTGTTAATATATGCATAAATGTGTAAGTACACCCTTAACAATATGATGTAGAAAACAGACAACCCATTTAACACGTTAAAGCTATTTTAATCAAAGAAGATTAGAGACAAGAACATTTCTATACTTAAATTAATTTCTATACTTGCTGTAAAGTGCTCATTTTCCTGCAAATCAGCTGTTTTTACTTCCCACATCTCATGGGTCATCTTGTGAGCAAAATGTCTTAAAATAGTAAACTAATTCTTTTTAAAATATGATAGAACGGTTGGTCAGCTTTTATGTATATTTTTACTACTGCAATTTGTCTTTCTTTTCTGTTGGGTTTCTAAATACCGGTTTACAAGATACATCACAAGATAATGTAGTGAAGGATCTGGTTAGGCAAAGGGTGTATGAAATTGGTTTACCTTAGCCTTATCCAACCTGGCCTTCTCCAAATGTTTTTGGAGAAGGCCAGGTTGGATAATTCTGGGAATTAAAGTCTGCATGGTGATGGTCATTATGCAGGACGCTGTTCATGTGGAGCAGTTCACCTTTTTGATTCTGAGAATTTCTTCTTTTATTAAAATAGCTCAGACCACTAGGTTGTAACATCATCAATGTGCCCAGTGACCAGCATGGCATGATTCCAACAGCCTTGAAAGAAATTCTTTCCAGATGGAATCCAGAAGATGTAAAAAGGGTCAAGAATGATATCCCAAAATTTCTGTACACAATTCCTAATGGTGGCAATCCAACTGGAGCCTCATTGACAACAGAACGCAAGAAAGAGATCTATCAGGTATAACCATCAGATAAATGCAATCTCTGCAAACAATTTTATTGCATTTAATCTAAGTTGAAATTAAACTTCAGTCTAAAATAAATGACTGTCCCAATTTTGTTGAATATGATTACTGAGAAAAATTTGATAGTGTTACCAGTACATAGACTCTGTTAGTCATCTAATATGATTCAACTTTGTTTTTAGTACATCAGCAAAGTAACATGGACAAAAGTAACCTATGAAGATTGTTCACAGGTTCTCTTTAAAGCCCTGAATAGTCTGAACCAGTTTATTTGAAGGAATCGCTGCACATTTTAAAGCCTGCTGTGGTACTAAACTAACTTCAAAGGCACTGCTTCTGCTCTGCACTTCACACACTAAGGTCTCTGAATTTGATAAGCTACCAAGAACGTAACTGTTTCTATAGTAGCTCCATTCTTGTGGAATACTCCCTGAAAACTCTGACAAGATTTATATTGACTTTACCATTGACACTTTTACTTAGTTTCCTTTTTAATAGGTTTATTATCAGCCACAAGGGAAAGGCTTGCTCTGAAAGTCAGAGTAGAAAATATGTAAAATAAAAAATAACACATTTCAAAAGGCAATCTGTGATGTCAATATATGTTAAATATAAAATAATGTTTCTTTCCTTATTTGTGTATTCAAGGAGAGAATAAATCTATTTCATAGGATTACTTATTGGTCCAATTTGTACTTTTTAAAACCTGGAATTAAAGCATTTGTTAATTAAACACGTAATTGGAATATGGCACCCTACACTCTTATCCATCAGCCTTTTGGGCCCAGGGATCTATAAATGTTTCTAGATCTTATATAGCCAGATCCAAATTAATTTCTCTGGGGGGAGTTAACTTGCATATGCTTTCTTCTGTTTGTGTTCAATGACATGTTCCTATCTGATTTCAAGGGTTGAAGTTGTATATGAGAACACTTTTTAAATCAGGTCTGGGAAACCTGTGTTCCTCTAGATCTTGTTCCAATCAGTCACATTAGTTATGATAATCAGAGATTAGGGATGATAAGAGTTTATCTGGAGAGCCATAGGTTCCTACTCAGTTTAAATACTAGGATTTTAATATCTGACATTCTAATTTTGTACACTTCAAATAATTTTTCCTTCCATGATTCTTCATCTTCTTATCAGAGCATCTTAAAAAGTAAAGCAATTTGAATTTGATTTTTAAAGTGAAATACATTCAGTAAATGGCTAAAAAAGAAATAGGTTTTATGCCTAACATTGCCTAACTGCGTTAATTTTGCCATTAATTAGAATTTACTTTCTTTTTGTAATTTGATACAATTTTCTTTTCCAAAGGTAATTAGGTTCAACGATTCTTGAATCAAATTATGTTTGGACCTGTATTTGCGTTCTAGTTTGTACAATAATGCATTTTGCCTTTAGTATGGGATTCCCATTGCATGCCTTGACTGAGGTTTTTGGAACCATATTGATCCCAGTAAGGAAACTGAAACAGAGTTCAAAATTCCCCTAACAGAAAATAGGTGAACATTTTACCAATAGAAAACAGCTGATTGGTAACAATAATATATAATTATGGAACAAAATATTTTTCTGATTTTATTACTTTGTACATGTATATATATGGGTGTGTTATGTTTCTTTTAGCTTGCAAGGCAATATGATTTCCTTATAATAGAAGATGATCCATATTATTTCCTTCAGTTTAACAAGGTGAGTTATTGTCAACTGATTTTCGAACAAAGAATGCACTGATTTGTATTCTTTGGATAATTCTTCACAAATTGTGTTATGATTTGTCACTACTTTTTCCACACTCAGTAGAATATTTTTTCCATTAATTGTGATGCTGTTTTCAAAGCTGTAGACATGAAGGTGTACCATAGACTTCAGGTACATATACATTTCAGGCCACAGCAGTACCCCTGGCAGAGCACTATTATGGTTATATGTTTCTATGCCAAGTAATATCACCATTTTTATCAGTTAAAAATATGAGTAGCATGCCTGTGATTTCATCTACACACATTTCAATTTAAGAAAAAACACTAGACCAAAACACTCTACTTAGACTACTGCTGATTGTAACTTCTGTAACTACTGCCTTCTCTGCGGTAGCCCCCGCTCTTTGGAACATTCTGCCCCCGGAGGTGCAATTGGCCCCCTCAT